TAAATTACGCGCTCGCATTAAAAATGTATTTGTCTGTGGCTCTGTGCTACGGCTGCTGTATGAAATGCGAAATGAGAAAATGGAAAAATGGGAAAATTGGGGAAGTAAGGAAAAAACTTATTACGTGTGTTATTATAACGCAATTTCTTTTGTGTTACTTTTGGTTCACGCTTTGTTTTGAAACGTTTTCAACTTTTGTGCTCTCAAGTGTCGCCGGTCGCGTCCCTCCACCTTCATCTGCGAAATTAAAATATCATAAATTTGAGTTAATTACGGTCGAGTAAACATTAACATAATTGTGTTTCTGGCCGTTGCCACTGCCACTGCCATTGCCATAGCCACTGCCATTGCCAGGGCCACTGCCACTGCCACTGCCACAGTCGCATTATAAGTAACATGTACTTATTGTCCGGTTTGCTTTGCTGCCTTCTTTAATTCACTTTGGAGAAATCTTTCATTCATTTGGTTAGGCTTGTTTTGCTTATGGAAAGCGTCCCTGTCTATCTTTCCGTCCGTTTGCCTGCTTTTCAAGTCCACAAATACTTACTGTACGGAGGATCAAGTACAAATTGATTGCTTTACAATTCGTTTCCACGAATCAAACCGAGGAACTACTTAAATAAATTACATACGCTGAACATAGCCGTAAGCCACAAATTTGTCATTTGGATTAGATGCTTAGTTCAAACAAACAAGTTTTTTGTCAGCTTATTTGATATAATCTCTGGAACAATTATGCATACAAAACACGAGTTGGTAGATGTTGCAACACTCAGCAAAAAATCGACATGGATTTTCGAAAAAGAACTAGAACTAGAAACTTTTTTATTTACAGCAATGTTTCCTAAATATACGACAAAAAGTAAAAAAATTAGAAAGGCTTTTTTTTAGTTTGATATAAATATATTTCTTGATAATGAAAAGCATTTCCAAAAAGTTGAAATGAAAAAAAAAGTTTCTAAAATCAATGAAGCTTGCACTTTGGACTACTATGTCAGAGTTTAGCTATTGTATGCTTCTGAGGGCCCGTAGCTCAATGGGAAATCACACAAAGGATTGCGAGATCAAAGACCCATAAATTTGATATTTTTTCAAATCAATTGTATAAATTTCAAAACTATCTAAAATGTTTCAATTACTTAAAATACTAATGTCTTATATAATGTTAATATACGGCGCAGAAGCATATTCAGAAATATACATTCAGAATAGTAAGGTGAATTATCCCCAGGTGCCAAAAGAATGTTGATTTCTCTAAGATTCAGGCCGATTTGATTTATTTATTAAATTGTGTGAATGGCGTTTGGATATGTTTGCCTCGCTTCCTTGAGAGCTGCTTAGCCATCCAAAGTCTGCCACTACAAACTACATAGCAATGTTCGTGCTGGAGTGTATGTCGGTGCCATGCCACGCCCACGCCCATGCCCACGCCCACCTGGTTTGATTACGTTGTTGTGACCTCGCGACAACAACTGGGTGCAGGGGTGTGGCTAGCTGACTTCCTGTGCAGCTGCATACATACATTTACAATATGCTAGCCGACCGCAGACCTTTGAAATTGCAATTGCCGTTGATTTTAGCTTTTGCTTTAGACAGGTGCCCGCCCCGTTGCAACATCCGCTTCCGTTTCCGTTGCGTTGCATGTGCCTACCTCCTAATTGTTTGTGTGTGAGTGTGTGAGTGTATGAGTGTGTATTTGTGTGTGTGTGTGTGTGTGTGTGTCCAGCGTTTAATTTCGATTTGGATTGCAGCCTGCCAATGAGTCAGTCGTCTGTTTGCTCCTGTTTGCAACTGCCACAACAGCAAATTGCTGCCAACTCATTTCCGTTGATTGGCAACTTTCGATCGCTTATCAGTCCATCATTTTCACTGGCTTCTTCATCTGCCCTCTGCTGTAATGAGAAATACCCAGTGCCTGCCACTTTGCCAATTGCTTCAGTTTTCTTATTGGTTTTTGGTTACAAAGGATGCGTCCCTTGATGAACGCCTTCATTACGACTCTCTGACATTCCTTAAACTACAAGGCGAAATATGATCAAGAAAATGTATCATTAAATTGCTATTTTTTCAATTCAAAAGCGACTTCTTTGCCTCCTGGTCTTCAGCTTGATCAACTTGATATATATTAATTTATTATATTTCTGTGTAGCCTTCAAGCTTGTTTGACCCGCATGCTTCGATGAATTACTGTTATAGTTATGTTTATAAAATAGCATTAAAATTTTAAGTGAAATATTAACAAAAATAATAATAATAAAAAGTGTTGTGAATTATTAGTTTAGTCGGAAAAGGGCTGACGTATTACAAAACTGTGCGCCTCTTGCTAACTTAATTACTTTTGAAATAGTTGAGTGCACACATACAACCACATGCATGAATACAGTCACACATACACACACGCACACACACAGGCCCATGAATAATGGCAGTTGGTGTGCGGATGGATGGATGAACTGGCAAGCGAGCCAGGGCTGCCTGACTGTCAGCGACCAGATAAGGGCAGGAAAACGGAAAAGGGAAAGGGAAAGGGAAAACGGGTGAGGAGCCGACGTTGCCGTTTCGGTGTCCTGTTCCCAGTGAAGTTAACCCATGCTCTGAGCCCAGGCAATTATTTTGTTTGTTGTTGGGGCAAGAAGCAGCCGAGAAGCCTTCTTTAATGCAGTTACGTTACCTTCCTCAAATGCATTTTGATAATAGAGTTTGGATAGACAGCGCTCCGCTCCAGCCCCAAGCGTTGGCCAACTCAATTTTCGTGTTGTCATTATTATAACAAAATGAAAACAAAGACAAAAATAAATGGAAATATTGCAGACTATAAACTCGATACTCGTGCATATGGCAGATAACAGCAGCTATGCAGATTGACAGCAACACAATCATGATGAAGATGCTGATGAAATCATAAGTATCACTGACTACAGATTAAAGATGCAAATTCATTTTCGAAACTTCGAGCTGCCATTTGCTGCTGACGGAGAAGTTTGCCAATAGATTTTGCTATCGATTTTTGTTTGAATAGTTCTTTCTATAAAATGTTTATTTACGGGTCTTCTATTTAAAGCGAAATAATCGAAACAAGCATTGATCATTGTTTAACATTTCCACATTTGCAGCTTGAAAATATTTCAATATGCGAAATTTAGTGTACACTGAGTAGTCAAAGCACAGATGTGTTGATGTATGGCTGCATTTAGCTATATTTCAGCTATATGTTGTGAAAGTAACAAAAGCTGTGCTTATGCCTGTTGTTTGATGCACGAGCATTATTTGGCCAAACAATGGTTTATAGGGGAACTGGTTATTCACTGTATGTGCGTGCTTTGAACACATTTCGCTGACGAACATTCAGTTTACAAAACACTAAACGAATGAATCACAGTCGGGCTGAATGAATGCAGCAATATTTGAATGGAACCAGATGCGACGGCTTGTATTCATTGCAGATTCTGTTTTGCTGAAACGCGGACTGCAGCTTATCAAGCTGATGTCAAACAATGACATCAACTAATGGAAATTGCAGCATCAATAACAATTACGAACCTTAGTCCGCATAGATAGTTGAAAGAGGAATGGTTTTGAGGGACTGAGGGAATGACGAGCAGACGGATAGTCTATTAATCTGCTTGTTGCCATAATTATGCAAAATGGGAACAGCAGCTGTGTATTTGTGCAGCTGGTGTATGCGATTTGGAAGCACAGAGGATACATTGAAAAGAAAAGCGAAATGACTGAGAGTTGAAGTGCACATGGAGTACGAGTCGAGTAAGTCGCGACTTAAAGATGTGCAGCTTAACGAGCTCAAGATGAAAACGAAGACGAAGATGAGCCAAAGTTACTCAAGAGATCTAAATCACAGCCAAATCATTTAATCAATTCATCAATTGATACCATTTTCCTGCTGCTTTGCCATGCATAATTCAACTGGTCATTCATCAAATGGCCAACTGCCAATGGCAACTGTAATGAACCATTTAAGGCATCGTTGAGGTTTAGCTGCCGTCAACAGACATATTTCTGCCTCGTCCGTTTGCCTAACCCCCGCCTAATGAGTTCAGTTGTTTCACTTGATTGCCACATGTGGCTCATGCTGCTGCTGTCTCTCACTCCGGTAAGCCTATATGCCTATATGCATATATCTTGCTGGCTGCTGGCTGGCTGGCCTCTCATCATCATTTTTTATCGCTCAAACACGCCCCTCTATGGGCAGTTAAAGCACTAAAAGCGGCTGGGCGGCAAGTCTCAATTGCACAATGTGTCGTATGATTAATGTCCTGTTGTCTGTTCGACGAGTCGTCTCTATATATCTTAGCCCACACAAATCACGCATACGCACCGTAACGCTGCAATAAATTGCTGCACAGTGTGCAGTAGAAAAACAATTTCTGCAATCAATTCAAGTTTGACGATTACCCACTAAATCAAAATAAAATCCAAATTAACATTCTCTGCAAGCAAGTGTCGAGAGTATGTAGAACAGCCAAATCATTTGAATATACACGTGGTCCTCTAGCTGATATTCGAATAATCACACAACACAAGAGTCACCAATTATATTATTTGCATATAAATGTATTTTAGTTAATATTAACAAATAAATAACATTAAAAAAAGTGAACGTGCTAAGGCCACAGCTTCTACAGCTGGCCTCAATTACTTAATCAATTACATCGAAATACTTCCCTTGCTGTTGGCTAAGCAGCTTTAGCAACACACACACACACACACACACACACACACACACAAACACACACTCTTACTCTTACTGACAACTGCATGCTGCCCTAATTTGAGTGGATGAGTGTTTGCAGTAAGCGTTGCATGAATATTTGCTTATCGCATTGTGTGGCCAGTCACATCTGGCATATGAATCTATTCGATTTCAATACACATAGCCACTCAATGTATTTCTTATATTCTATATAGCATAAACAGTATACGTATATATACATATATAATCATCAAATTAACTTATCCATTTCTCCATTTGTGTTTATTTGCAGGGTGCCTCGCCGCGCTGGGAGCCACAGATAGCCGTGCTCTGCGAAGCCGGACAAATCTATCAGCCGCAATATCTATCTGAGGAGGGTCGCTGGGTAACAGATCTTAGCAAGAAGACAACGGGCGCCACATGTTTGCGTGATAAAATGGATTTGCTTGATTACTGCAAGAAGGTACGTAAGGAGGGGTTTTGCGCTTCAAATTGATATGATTGTGTGCTTGAGGTTTGGGGGTGTGGTATATGTTGTTGCTGTATGTTGATGTATGTTGCTGTGTTGGTATGTGATAGGGGTGTGTTTAAATTGTGTTGCTGATTACATTGAAGCCCCATGAAAATTGCTATTTGCATTCACTATTGCATTTACTTTTCATATGAAAAGTGCACAGAGATTTCGTATACGCCACATGGCCCCATTGCGAAATGGAATTTTATGGCTAGGCTGACGCCAAGTGGCTAACCGCAAGCAACAGCAGTGGCATTGCCTGGCAACCAGATGCAAACATCTTCCACAGCTTTCCACGTGCCACTCAAAATGCAGGCAGCAACATGAAAGGCAATAAATCAAAAGCGGCAACAACAGCAACAACCAGCAAAGTTTCGTGGATGGGGAATGCGGTGGTTGGGGAGCTTGATGTAAAGTAAATGCTTTAGTTGAGTGTGTGTGGCATCAACAATTTAATTTGCGCTGCGCTGAAAGCGTTTACATTGAGACAACATTAAACGACACTTAATTAATTTTCCATTAATTTTTGCTCTTTGCTTTTTGCATTCACTTCTGTTCCACCCGCCACACCCGCCATCCCCGATACCCTTATCCTATCTCCCACCGGTACCCACATTTCCATAACATATGGCAGCTGTATGGGTACTCACACACACACACACACACACTTAAAGCATACGTAGTGTGTGCGCGGAAGCGACGCCATCATAAATTGGCATGCCATTGCCAATGACGACAGCCTTTGGCTTTTTAATTAAATTCCTTTGGCTCACTACTAATGCAGAGATATTGTAAGTGTATGTGTGTGTGTGTGTGTGTGTGTGTGCGTGTGTTTGTGTGATTGTGTGCATCATGGAGCCGGGCTCGAGAACAGTTAACCATTAAAGGAGCCACTGCATCCCGTCGAGCACCAAGCAGCGCACAAAGCTCATGTGCACATTTATCTTCTCTTTTGTTTCTTATACATTTTTGCTTTTATTGTACGAGAGCCAGTGTTAAGTGAAATGTGACAGCAAATGAAATCAAATGAGCAGATAGCAGTCTCAGCAACTATATCAATTTAAATTGAATTCGAATTCATTTATGGCTTATTACCTGGGACTGACAATCTCATTTGGATTCCCAACACATTCTTTGAAACGTACATCTATTTGAAGCTTAGCTCTTAGTTTGTCGATATCTCTCTTTTGATATTGATATAATTATTAATCCTAAAGCCCTGACTAAAAATCCATGTTAAGGTCTAAAGGACAAGCTGCTTAAAGCTATACAAGGCTTTGTATGATCCTAATGAGCCTTGCGGGCTGTCAAAACTGTCGCATTTGATTTCGACACGCAAATTTGTAGCGACCTGCTGCTGTTGCTGTCATTTTACCACAACATAAATCAAATTTAACACACACACACACAGACATACACATAACCACTCAGCCACACTCGCACACTCGCACACCCACACACCAATACACCCACTCACCCACATAAATATACATCGTATATTTTTGGCCTGTGTGGCAAATATTTTATTGGCTGTACATTTGCATTTTATTTTTGCCTGAAAAGCTTTTCAGCCATGCTGCAATTTACGTTGTATGCGAATATTTTTGTATATTTGGAGCGTGTTTTCCTTCATCTCAATGTTTGTCATATTTTATAATTATGTTAATTTATTTATAACGCTTAATTTATGTGGGTATGCTTTTGATGACATCGCCTGACTGTTGCCAACGACCACAGCAAATTGTAATAAAATGCAGTAGTCTAGTAAAAATAATAATGATATCAAACTTGTTGTTGTCGTTGTTGGCAACAGCAGCAATGTCAAAAAATAAGAGTTTCTCTTCTAAGCTGATTTATTTATGCCGAGCATAACAACAACAGTTTGCAAATACGTGAATAGTTACGGATTTTTTTATTACTGCAGTGTTTTGGCAGTTTGGCAGCTTTCAAGAGTAACATTTTTAATTGCTGACTATTCGAGTAAGATAAAATATTTAATATCGGGATCCACAAGAGCTTAAGCGTACTGAAAAGAACACATTCAATATTTTATGTCGAATAAATACACTGTTTGTATTTGTAGTTGCTATAAGAGCAACTGTACCATGTATTCATCATGTGCTTTGCATGTATAAAACAGAAACAAAACAAAACAAAATAAATAAAAACAAAGAAAGAAATATATGTTTTATGTGCGTTCAACTAAAGCTACAGCAACAGGAATCGATGTTTTTGACTACTGTGCAGATTACTAAAGTAGCTGAAAAATACGCATATCAACAAAAGCAACAGCAACAGCAACAGCAATATGCAGAATCGAGTACAAACTGCCAAAGTCCAACCAAAAGCCGTAAACCAAAGCGAAGCAGATCTTTGTTCCTGTTCCCCCTTTGGCATGTTGGTGTTGCTGATGCTTTTGATGTTTCACGTACACGCAGTTTACAGTCTCTTCATTTTGTTTGGATTTGGCTCTCTGGCTATAGCCTCAATAGCCTTGAACTGTGCCGCTAACGAATGTCCAAAGAAAAAAAAGAAGCGTAAAACAAAAGTTAACCAAGCATGATATAGTCGAGAGTGCTCGACGTGAAAATGCCCTCAATGAGAAAATGCTAGTTGAACCAGCTGGATATCATTTTTTTTTATTTATTTATTTTTTTTTTTGAGTACAAACAGAGCCTTATGCATGGTTGGCTTTTCATAGGAATCACATATATGTGTTGTGCTTTAGTGCACTTAAAATTTGTATCGAAATACGAAACCACTTCATGTATTTTTCAACAGAAAATTTCAAATTGATAAAGATAGCAATGAAAAACAATGAAAGAATGCATTTAATCAATATATATAAAAAGAGACAGTCAGCACTTGCTGGCCAATATCACCTGCTGATTTTCAATTGAATTGAATTGAATTGAAATGAAATGCAGGGTATATGAAAAAGATTTATCAAAGCCGAGCCACGGTCGCCATTAATGTCAAGCTGTGTGCAAAAAGCTAAATTGATGTTGCGACGACGTGGCAAGTAAATTGCATGCGGTGTATGTGTGTGTGTGTGTATGTTTGTGTTTGTGTTTGTTAGGTGTGTGCACTTTTTCTTAAACATTTGCTCGCCTTTTTAATTTGGCTATTTTTGTGCACACTCGCTCCACAAGCAAAAAAAAAAAAAGAAAACCCGCACACACTGACGGAGAAAAAGTTACGCTCACTTAATTTCCGTACACACAAAGCACACACACACACACAAGCAGGAGTCCATCATGGCGCATTCACTTGCCACACGCTTAACTCCATTGCATTCGTATATGTCTTGGTCAAAATATATCAAGCCGCACAAAAGTATGCTACACATTTTGTTTATGTTATATTTTTAACAGTCGTTCAGAAATGTTAATGACTGCCGCAAAAAGAAATTAATTAAAAGTATAAAACATGTTAGCCCTTGTAGTTGTTGCTGCTGTTGTTGCTGCTGTTGCTGTTGCTGTTGCTGGTCGCACTAAAATGTTGGACTGCATGCTCCTTTTTGGGGTTTTGCAGCCAAATGTATTCAATTATGTATGTGCATTTTAAAATGTTTCACTTATTTTCTCTTTAGATTTATTTTTGGAATGTTCTATTTTGGTTTTAATTTCTCTTTGTTTGCAATACAAATGAAAATTAATTAATTTGCATCTACTTTTACGCATCGTGAAAGGACATGTGAATACATATCCCATGCCACTGAGCAGGACTGAATTTGGCGGCTGGAGGCGTTAATTGCTTGGCAGGAATGGTGTCCGGCGACCAAAATAAAAAAAAATGCTTACTGGTTTGCAACTGTTTGAACAGGCACAGTTACTTGATATCCTTGTTGTTGGTTTAATTTGTATTCTTCGGATTTAGTAATGAGTTTAATTACATATTCGAGGGGCTGCGGCTGCTGTTGTCGTTGTACTTATTTGCATGGAACAAGCATTGATTTCTGGATATTTTGTAAACATTTTCTACAAATGCGGTGTCCTGTCCTGTCCTGTTCTGTCTGGTACCGAATGTCCTACACGCAATGATAAAATATTTATTTTAATTTGCATTAAATAATTACGAACATTGGCAATTTCTCTTATCGCATTTAATTTATTCAAAAGTATAAAATCCAATTCATTGCACATTTTCTTAATGCAAATTTTATTATTTTCCCCCAGGTAATTTCTTGCATACGATTTTATACTCAAATAACTTAACTTGACTTTTTACGGCTAATGTATTCGATTGCTGAAAATGAGTAAGCCATAAATATATTTTCATTAAAACTGACATTCATTTATTTACAGTCAATTTTACTATAAATGTGAAAATGTGTTTTAAATGTCTTGGACTTGCTTAATCGTATGAAAAAATCACTTTCATCGTTGATTTCACTTCTGATTTAATTGAACAGCATAAATTTAAATGAAAATTAAAGCGACTCTCTTTGTTTTTCAACATTTTCCATTAAATTGCCTGATTCATTTCGGTTGATATACAGCTCTAATGCTATATGATGTCGATTGACCAAGGCTTCACTGGTTTGTCATCTATATTGATTTCACTCACTATTTCAATTACTGTGTTTTTAAGATATTGTACAAATTTAAATATGAATTTAATACACATGTGCAAATGTCTGCCCTCTCTCCTTGTGTGTAAGAAAAATGACTTACTCAGCGCCTGGAAAACTTTACAGATATTGAAGGAAATCGACATTACTGTTTAGGCAAAGTTGCTTGTTAATGACCCATAGATAAAAAACAGTGATTGAAAAGAGATACGGCTGGTGTGGTTCAGTGTATTCAATTACAATGTCTTCCTAATTAACGACATGACTGCGGTCGCCTGTCCCTCGCCTCAATGATACTCAGTTAATGAGATTTTGTGGCAAATGAGCTTACAAATGTGGGGCGGAGGTGGCTCCATTTTCCATTTCCATAGCGACT